CCCTCCGCTGCGCGAAAGCAGCGCAATTGAAGTTGAATTCACAGACGCGAGTGCATCAGGCTGTAATTTCATAAAGTAGATGACTCAATGGTTTACTCATTTATACTCGCTTGTGTGTCCTATTCGTTCCGCAGGCCTTGTGTTTGACCCGTGTGCTAGCCTATTAGCCACGTTATAACTGACTTGTGATGATTGCCCTTGTTTGATTGTATTGAGATTCCCAGCCTTAGTTAAAGTGGTCAGTTTTTGTTCAAAATATTGAGTCATTGAAACTGAAACAGTGCATCCCGAATGGAGGCTGCAAACAATGTACCAGGCCAGCTGTGATTTACAACCTGATAGCAATATTTTTTGGACTACCAAGAAATGTATTGGTAAATTATACAAATCATGCATTGAACTGCATCCGTCTATTCTGCCAACAATGTCTTACTGTATGTCATGGAATTTTCAGTCAAATATAACCTATTTTTAAAACCTCTTTATAAAGTTGGTTTTGAAGCATGAACTGGAATTTGATATTTTTTTTACTGATATTATGATTGGCTGTTTATTTCATATCTGCAAAGTAGTTAAAAAGCTGTCAGTTCAACTTTAACTGTTGGTGGCAGTGGCTAACCATAGGATGGACTGCAGTCTCATTTGTAACTCATTTGGGTGAACTATCACTTTAAAATAGGACTGTAGAAAATCCTGTCTAGAGGTGGTTCTCCAAGAGGGTTGCCCGCTCACCCCTGATCTACAGTGCATTCGGAAAGTATTCAGACCCCTTGACTTTTTCCACATTTTGTTACTTTACAGCCTTATTCTAAAATTGATTAAATAATGTTTTCCCCTCCTCAATCTACATAATACCCCATAATGACAAAGTGAAAACAGGTTTTTAGAAATGTTTGCTAATTTATAACAAATAAAAAAACAGATACCTTATTTACATAAGTATTCAGACCCTTTGCTATGTGACTCAAATGTGCTCAGGTACATCCTGTTTCCATTGATCATCCTTGAGATGATTCTACCACTTGGAGTCTACCTCTGGTAAATTCAATTGATTGGACATGATTTGGAAAGGCACACACCTGTCTATATTAGGTCCCACAGTTGACAGTGCATGTCAGAGCAAAAACCAAGCCATGAGGTCGAAGGAATTGTCCGTAGAGCTCCGACACAGGATTGTGTCGAGGCACAGATCTGGGGAAGGGTACCAAAAAATGTCTGCAGCATTGAAGGTCCTCAAGAACACAGTAGCCTCCATCCTTCATAAATGGAAGAAGTTTGGAACCACCAAGACTCTTCCTAGAGCTGGCCGCCCGGTCAAACTGAGCAATCGGGGGAGAAGGGCCTTGGTCAGGGAGGTGACCAAGAATCCGATGGTCACTCTGACAGAGCTCCAGAGTTCCTCTGTGGAGATGGGAGAACCTTCCAGAAGGACAACCATCTCTGCAGCACTCCACCAATCAGGCCTTTGTGGTAGAGTGGCCAGACGGAAGCCACTCCTCAGTAAAAGGCACATGACATCCCGCTTGGAGTTTGCCAAAAGGCACCTAAAGGACTCTCAGACCATGAGAAACAATATTCTCTGGTCAGATGAAACCAAGATTGAACTCTGTGGCCTGAATGCCACGCGTCACGTCTGAAGGAAACCTGGCACCATCCCTACGGTGAAGCATGGTGGTGGCAGCATCATGCTGTGGGGATGTATTTCAGCGGCATGGACTGGGAGACTAGTCAGGATCGAGGGGGAAAAAGTACAGGGAGATCCTTGATGAAAACCTCCTCCAGAGCTCTCAGGACCTCAGACCGGGGTGACGGTTCATCTTCCAACAACCCTAAGCACACAGCCAAGACAATGCAGGAGTGGCTTTGAGACTCTGAATGTCCTTAAGTGGCCCAGCCAGAGCCCGGACTTGATCCCTATCTAACATCTCTGGAGAGACCTGAAAATAGCTGTGCAGCGACGCTCCCCATCCAACCTGATAGAACCTGAGAGGATCTGCAGAAAAGAATGCAGGTGTGCCAGGCTTGTAGTGTCATACCCAATAAGACAAAAAAATATATATATATATATATTCAAATAGCCTAATTACACCAGAAAAAGTGAAATAATAAAAGTATGGGGAAAAACAGTAGTGTTCTTTCTGCGATAAGCAGACTAATTGTACTATATTTTAGCCCATTGTAGGGGATGGGAATTGTTCTTACTCAGCTATTGTGAAAGACCAAATACATTTAATAGATGATAAAGTCTCCTGAAGACAAGATGATATAGCTTAAATCTGCACCGCCCTACACCCAACCAAAATTATATTTCAATCTATTGTCCCCCCAGTGCCCCACTAGAATCAATTACACATTTGGGTTCACAATTTGTTTGGGCAAAATAATGTTCATAATACCGTTATCAGGTTACCCTACCAAAATTCATGCTGAATGCTGCCTTTTTGTTGTTACAGCATAATGAACCTAGTGGTAAATTGCTAATGACCAAACAAGGTGAATATAAGGTAGCTTATGGATCTGTGCTCATGCAAGTGGTGGATTGAATCACTTGTAGTAGTCTATTTAAGTGATAATGCCAGAGAAGCCGGTGTTTGGAGGATATATTGGCATGGGTGTTGGGCCTGAGACAGAGTCGAGGGCCGGCAAACCGTGCCAATATATCCTCCGAACACTGGCTTCGATGGCATTATCACTTTTATACAACGGGTTACCAACATATTCAAATAATGATTGACATATTTTCATAAATGTTATTTCATCCTTCCACAAGATATAGTCCCGACAAATCTAGTGTTGCTACCCAAGCCGGCTGTTCGTCCGTTCTATCTGTTCGGTTGCCAGTCTACCCAGTCGTTCAGTCTTGGACGTTTGTTCTAAATGTTCCATTGCCATTCTTGCTGGCAACGTTCTTATCCCTTACTTGCTAGCTAGCCAACTATGGCTAACTTACAGTCACGTCAAACAGTACAGCCAGAATAGCTGCATTTGCGTTTGTTTAAGCTGTTTTCTAGTGACATTTATTTGGACACATAACAATGAGCTAATGAGGCGTGATTTCGCCTGGCATAGAAAATGTGCTCTCTCGTCAGGACACTGTTGTTCAGAGGAGCTAGCCAACAACACAGCTAACACAATCACTTCAAACTTCTTTTCAATTGACATTTCTTTGTATATATCCATAAAAATGATGCCAGCTGATTCATGATTACAACTGGCTGAGAAACACTGCCTGCCTGTCTCTCATCCCAACTCCCGACACATTCATTACTATGGGACAGCTGGAGATCAAATTTCAATATTGAAACAATGTTGCAAATATCGGAGAGACAGACTGCAAGGTTTATACAAATCTCCACTGTTGAAAACTAAATGTTAGTCTAAATAGAAATGTGAGATAATGTCTAGATGTTTTTTTTGGTGGAGATCAAGTTCATAAATTGCCTGGCTGGGCTGATGAGACAGTGGATTGCGCAGTCAGAAGGAACTGAGTAAATAGGCATTTTAACGTCATAGATTTAGTCGGTGGTAACTTGTGGATTATAAACTGGGTTGTTTGAGCCCTGAATGCTGATTGTCTGACAGCCGTGGTATATCAGACCGTATGACAAAACATTTATTTTTACTGCTATAATTACATTGGTAACCAGTTTATAATAGCAATAAGGTGACTCAGGGGTTTGTGATATATGGCCGATATACCACGGCTAAGGGCTGTGTCCAGGCACTCCGTGTTGTGTCTTGCTTAAGAACAGCCCTTAGCCGTGGTATATTGGTCATATACCTCACCACCTCTGTCCTTATTGCTTAATTATCACATGCTGTCATAAGGAAGCATTCTGCGCCTGGAGTGACAGCAAATTAATTAGTTGACAATTGTGCTGCTCTTTTGACAATTGAGTTCATAAACTTTGATCAGAGCGTAGAACGAACATGCCTGTCCAGTCTGCCGTGGCTGCACTCTATTCGTGAGGGGTGTTTCTTTACAAATGCGCATCCAATCGCCTTGGTCCCATACCCTTACTACAGTGGTTCCCAACCTTTTTTCACTCAGGCCCCCCTTCCAGTATTGGGGAACAATCACAAGCTTCAATCTGCCGTGGTTCACAGTGCGGTTGCAGAAAGATTATTGATCTCCTGGGTGAAGGGTCGTCACTAGTTGCCACAAATGACTAAACCCCGCCTATTTCTACAATTTATCTTATTAAAATCAGATTTTAAACCTAACCTTAACCACACTGCTAACCTTATGCCTAACCCTAACCTAAAATGAAGACCAAAAAGCATATTTTTGTTTTCATTAATTTTTTACGAAATACACCTATCCAATTTTGACTTTGTGGCTGTGGTAAGTAGTGACAACCTGGGTGATGCTGCCGCAGTTACAATGCTATTGATGTAGAATTGCAGGTGCATATGCTCTGATTTCAAAATTATTTGGAGGCACTGTTGAAAAGTTAACGTACTTGATTAATTAGAAAATAAGAGCAGTACTTTTTTCAATGCGTGAGAAATAAGAGATGTGATTAGTGTGTGAAGAGGGTCAAATGCGTGTCTCACACCCATTACGTGAGAGTGGCCAGCACTGCATTGTTCATGATGGTATCTTAAAGCTGCAATATGTTAACTTTTTAGGTGACTTTGTCAGAGCTTAGGACCACACGTAGTGGTACTTAATCAGCAGACCTAGACCCTGTCACACTGAACAAGCACAGTCATCCGACAACCGCTTACTACCAAAGAATTTGGGACAGTAAAATCGTGGCATAAGACTGCTAAAATCATACAGTCTGCGGGCCTTAAGCGGTGCTTATAGCTGAGAACCCTTGGGATAAAACAGAATTACTTGTTAATGCCTTAGATTCTTGAGAGCAAGCTAGCTAGCTATGAGTTTCAGTTTGCATGTGGGTGCACTAGCTAACTGACTCACTTTCCTTCCCTAAATTTAACTTGGTTACTTATTTTTCTCTGATTGTAGGGAAATCCTTCAGTAAGAGACTCAAATGACCTCAAACAGTAGGCCTAACTGTGCTGCTATTCTGAAAGGTAAATGATGTGTACACATTTCATGGTTTGAATAGCTTGCCTAACTAGCTACAGTTTGTTCATGTATTTTCTCATTTTTATGTGAATCAAGTATGGGGTTTTGATATTTTCTCTAGATGTTGTTGCCTACGTTGATGTGTGGTCATCAAGTAAAACAGAGAATTACTCTAAACCATTCATCCAGCAGCTGCAGGATATGGGAGCTGAGGCGAGTTACCCTTTTATAGCTACACTGCTAACTAATTACACAGAAGTTTGTTTTTACTATGTGAAATTTCACATTGTGATTTTCCCTGTGTAATTCCAGGTATCAAAAACCTTCAATAAACAAGTTACCCACGTAGTCTTTAAAAATGGCCATCAAGCCACTTGGAATAAAGCCAAGAAGACTGGTGTGAGACTTGTGTCTGTCCTTTGGGTGGCCAGGTAAACCTCAAGCTTCATTTCAGTTTATATGCTTTTTTTCCTGAAAGTGCATCGTCATAGCAATGACGACGATGTATCTTCAATATATTTTGGTCTGCGTGATGACAAGTCAGTGATATTACCATGTTGTTGTTTTTGCAGTTATTACATCAGCCACAAGATGTCACTGACAGACAAATAAAATAGTTGGGCGCTCTGTTATCCTATCACTCATGTTGTTTTGGTTTATTAATGCAGATGTAAAGATGATGGTGAACATGTTAATGAAGAGTTGTGTCCGGCATTAAATGATGAAGTCAATCCAGCACTCAAGAAAAGGGTGATAAGCAAATTTACATTTCTTTGCTAGGTTAAAATAATTACTGTACGTAACTTTTCTTTGATTACTGTCATCAACTACTTGGCTGTCTATAGTTAAACCATATTTACTTTATTTCTTCATTTATTATATAGTTGAGCAAGGACTTTTTGCCTAAAAACATGAATAATTAGGCTATGGGTCTAATTAAGTATTTTTTTATTGAAAGGGTCTATTAAAGTTTTTCTGAGATTCATCCAAATCTAAAATAATTGTATATATTTTATTTCATACAGCATCGTTGTATGCAGCCAAGAGACACCCCTGAGAGAACCCCTGAGAATGACAGGCGCATGAAGAAAAAACTGGACAAGATTATCAAAGACCTAGTACCAAAATCACCTCTTAGTAAGAAATCTCTCTTCATGTCTGACATTTTGTGTGTGGATGTGGTTTCATATTGAAATGTATTTCTGTTTAGTTACAGATGTGTCCCCTTACATTATTGACGAAGAGAACGGAATAGTTTTCAGCCCTTCTATGAAAAGGTCTGACTCCATGGCACAGCGCCTGAAAGAAATGAGAGAGAAAAGGGAGAACCTCTCCCCGACCGGTATGTTTTATGTGTGTATGGCCAATTGTTTGATGTGTATAGTATGTGTAGCAAAACATGGGTCAGAGTCTAATGTGATAGAGCTGAGTTATGTGGCAACTCTAGTTAATGCTTTCTCTCAGCTTCACAGATACAATCTAGGTTATCACCTGAGCTCAAGACTTCTCTTGGGAATACACCATCCCGCTCTTTCTTGCAACAACTGTGTAAGTACTTGGACATAAGATGCATTGACGGTGTCAATTAACATATATTATATAATATTATACATTTCAGTATCTTTTCTTATTCTCATAATGGCATATCTTTCCCTATGCAGATGAAGAACCGGATGATGACTTTAATGCATCTGTTGGCTCAAATAAGACAGATGGAGAGAAGCAACATGAAGCCACCAGTGAAACACAGCACAAGAAAGACTTTCAGAAACCTTGGATGTCACCTTGCAGCGTTGTGCCGAGACAAAAGACAAGTAATTTACCCAATTCACCGGCTAAAGAAAAAGCAAGTAAACAAGACAAAAATCCTAAAAGGACCTCAATCAAAAGTGATGTTATCAAGAAACACATCTCTTTAGATAGTCCATGCCGGGATGACCTCCCGAAGGGTAGCAAGAGTGTGCAATCAGTGTTTACATTTGACAGTTTCGTAGTGGGAAAAAATAGACGATCAACCAGCAGAAGTAACATGGCAAAAGTCATACCACCTGTTAGGAAAAGCAGAACACCACAGTCCCTTCCAGAAAGTAAGCCAACTGCTAATCTGGAGATTTCTAGTTCTACAATTTTACCAGAAAAACTCAATGTGCCTCATCAAACGTCCGTAAAGATTACCAAACTGAAATCAAATGTGAGCCAACGAAGAAAATCCTTGCTTCCTGCCTTGGCAAGATCTTGCACTGTCTCGAATGACTCTCATGCCTCCTCCTGTGCATATGATGATGAAAATGATGGGGTATTTGAGGACTTCTTCTCTCCAGCTAACAACCCTCGGAGACAACAAAGTCTCCTTTTGCCCAGCTTGTCATCACTGTCCAAGGTTCTTGTTCCCTTTGAACTGGAGCCTCCGCCTAGCCCTGGGAAGAGGAAGAGGGGCAGGAGTGAAACCACAAGGTCTGAGTTAGTCAGTGCCAAAAAGAGAAAAAATGAGGTGCCAATTGTAAAAGAGACATCCAGTGAGTCCAGCAGTGTAAGTAGCGTGTTGGATCAACACGAGCACCCACACCAGGATACAAAAGGACTTGCATCCTCCGAGGACAATAATACAAAGCAAACTGTGACTAAAAGAAGTACGCAAAGCACATTGTCATTCTCTAGAGTGCCTAAAGACTCAACCGATGAACTGACTAGTGCCCCTGAGAAGTGGAGCGCGTCAACAGATCCCACGCACCTTTCAAAACCAAATTTGACAGCGTCCAACAAAGCACTAGATAAGCAAAACAGTTCGTATCTCTTACCTCGGCACAAGGACAATCGAGGGAAAAGTAGCCCACGTTTGGAAAGTATGTGAATTCTAAAACCTAAATACTACAAGATGTTGGGATGTTACCATGTCATCAATTTAATCAATGCAATGGCATTTAAGAGATTGTTTTAGCATGTTTTACTAATCAATATAACTGATCAACATGAAACACCTTAGACTCAGGTAGTAATAATGTGCTGTAGAATTGGCACTGTGGTTGTTCATGGTTTCATTATCCACATGAATATTTACAATCTTTTCTCTGCAAGTGTCCCAAAATGGGGTTTTATTACAGCAACAGCATAGCACTTATTAGCCACATCAGAATTATTACCTTGATCAGTATTTGTGAAGCAAAGGCTGAAAAATGTTTACTTTTACATTGGAAAATGTTTGGCCATGTAAGTTAATCATACTGTGTTTTAGTATAGCCTAGTGTCATTCCAGCACAAGTGGAAAACGAGATTAAATTAACTGTTTTAATACTGATGTGATGGTACATTTTCTAATAAACCGATGTTAACCTTTCTTTCCAGAATGACCTTACTGACAATATCTGTTCGCATGATAGCCCCATCGCACAGAAACACAAGTGAATCAGCATTCAGCAGGAAGAAAATGCACCTGTGTGTGTGTTGTTTGTAACATTTTCAACATTTTCAGTTGTAGGCAGAGGAACTGCATATGCTGCAGCAGCTGGTGTCACAGACACAATTTCTGACAATTTAAGCAAACAGAAAAGACAAGTCAATGTGGTGGACAAGAGTATGGACAAAAATACAAAGGTAACCATCTTCTAAGTTGCTGTTGTGGTGTTCGCTGTAATTGTTATAGCCCAGCATTTAAAGACGTTAAACATACAATAGCATTTTCAACAATGTTATGGTTTAGATGTATTTCTTAGATATTGATTAACTTGACAGTTTGAATTAAATACTACTTGGAATTAAATACAATTCCTAAACTATAAACTTGTCCTCTATCGCTTGGTGAAACCAAACCGTGGAGGAACATTGGCATCTTTTTGCCTTTGTGTTCCATTCCTTTTGAATACAGCTGCTCAGAAAGTGTGCAGTACACGCATGAGTATTCATGAGTAGTCTTTGAAGCTGCTGCCACAGGGGCTCTGTCTGTAGTCTTCAGGGGTTCCTGTGTGTTACCTCCATGTTGGTAGCACAACATCCTTGTCTGTGAAAATGCACCTGGCTCAGTCTTTGTGTTCTCTCAACCTGAACAAAACTTCAGCTTTTAACACTGGTGAAAATGGCTTTCATCTTCCCTACGAATCTTGTTTGAATTCCCATGTGAACTGTATGAATGAATGAAGAGCCCACGTAAGAAGAGAACTCATCATGAGGTTATGGAGTGCTCTTTTTGGATTAGACTCAACCCCCCTCAGCATCTGGACAAAGGTAGTCTTACCAAAAGCGGAAAGAAGTCATGTGCAAGGGCAACATCCATGACATAAACCACTTTTAGCCTCTTTGTTCTTCAGACAGTATCATATGTATCAAACTTAAGACAATCAGTTTACTGAGGCACTAGAGTATAGTGATTTTAAGACACAAAGTCCTTTTAAAATAACTCATGTTTGGTGAAAAATTGTTTGGGTTGATGAAGCATGGCATCTGATGTGTACTTTGTTCCCTTAGCAGCAAGGGGAGTTGTCCTGTATGTGTATCATGCAGCATTTGTATGATAACCTAAAGTAGAAATGAGTACTTGGCTCTATAAGATGGCATTGTGTATGTGTCCTTAAAGAACTTCAGGAAACATGATGTCATAACCACTTTATTCATAGCATGTAGCCTAACCATGTGATTGTTGAAGTTTTTCAATGCACGGCAATTGCAAATTAAGTCACTGTTCAATCTTGACAAGTTGTAATCTGTTCTTTGTACCCTCAAAGGTGATTTTCAGTTGAAATTGGCCCTCCCAGACCCCCAGATGGATTAGGACAAGGGCCTATGGAAGTTGACCTCTTTCACTGTATGAATAGGGCCTGAGTCATTTCAGTTTGCATAGACTGGCCATCAAGGGGACCTAGTCATATCCAAAAGAATTTCCTTCATTTGTGCAAGGCCCATTGAAATGGAGCCTGGTGCAACAGTTCACACCAACTCTTTGTCTCATGTTTATTTAGTGTGGACCCATTCTTCAACTGCTGCAAGAACATGTCCATTGCATAAGTGAAGCCAAAAATTCCCCTTGAGGAACCTTCAAAACGTAGCTGTTGAAATTCCTCATAGTTTGTTTCTGGTTGAAGGAGTGAAAAGTGAATAGAACTGCTAGTGCTTTAGGGTTGTTCCCTCTAACAGAAAGTCTTTGTGGCCTTTTTGAAGTCTGAAAAGCATTCTCTTGCTCAGTAGCACACAAAATTGCTACTGAAAACATTGTTTCCCCCTGATAAACACATTTCTTTGGTATTAGCAACTGCAGCATTCTTTTCCATCTCACTTAATCAGCATCCATCACAGTGGTAATGGTTTATGTCCATCTTAAAGATAAGTAACTTATTTCAGCACTGAGCTAATCCTTTGTGATTAATGATGACCCAAACCATGTCATGCTTTACTAAAGAAAGCTGAGAACCTTTTTCAACCAATGATGTGCATTCATATAGGGGTTTTGGGTGTGTTATATGTCGGGTATGGTAGATTAAAAGGGTTCTTTTGTCATGGAGGCTCTAGGTGGTGTTGAAAACCTTCAAATGAAAAGCAAGGACTATTTTGTATTTCTAAAACCGTTATTTATTTGAGTCATGATGGCCCTCGGATAAAATGTCAAATAATCCTCAGCTCAGTCAATATACTGTGTTAACTTCTTCTCAACCTAATGCCTGTTTTAAACCACCTCAACCCCTGCCGTATGCTGCCTGTTTCCAACCCCTGCATTGCAACCTTTTTATTAGTGATCACACCTGGCCACATTGATGTCACGGGCACCCTGTTATGCCTGTAAAGCAGTCATATATTGGGCTGTTATGCCTGTAAAGCAGTCATATATTGGTCTGTGTACTGGTGGGCTGTTTTGGCTGCCCTCTGCTCAGGAGGCCTTCACCCCAGACTTCCTGCTGGGGGACTGGAGAGCGGTTCCTGACAGGAAAGAGCCTGGTCGCCCTGTCTGTCTCTCTAACTGGCACTCAGGTGTTCAGTGCTAATGGCCTGATGTGTGGGGGGGCCACTGCACTGTGCACACATGATATGGATGGGACAGAACCACACTAACTAGGTTGATAATTCTATTTCAATACAGGTGCTCTCCAGCCTGTTTATCACTGTTCATGGCCTTGGGTTTCATTTCCTCTTCACACATCAAATATGCAGATATCCGGCATGTGGTGTTCTTTTGAAAATGAGCGAGATACTGTTTACCTATCCAGAGCTGTACCGCTGTGTTGCCCCTCAATATCAACAATGGAACGCAATAAGGAAACTATTGAAAACTGATAAAGCCTTTAACACTGCTATTATCCCATGGTAATTTTTTAGGTGTGTACTTTGTATTGAACCTCACTACATGCTAATGTACTCTAAAGTGCATATAATTGGTTTACATTTGGTTGATTTTTCATTTCAGACTCTAAGGACATTAGTTATGACAAGCATGCCCACCGAGTAAGTATATCCAACTGTATGATACATCCACCTTTTGAATGTTAGACAGATTATCATTTGATAGTGTCTTGTTGAATTCAATGCTTTGCTTTCTCAACCTAGGTATTTAGAAATCCCATTTCAGGTTTTCCTCTTTTGTCCTCTGGTTCCTCAGAAAGCAGCACACAGTGACCCAGGTGGTAAGAGCTCTGGGTGGGTTCTCAGTGGTGGACCAGGTGTGTGAGAGCACTACCCATGTGGTGTCAGGGAGCCACCGGCGGACCCTCAACATTCTCCTGGGCATCTCCCGTGGCTGCTGGATCCTCTCTTTTGAGTGGGTATGTATGTTATTTGTGTGGGTCTTTGGCAACGTGAATTAGCTGATTTAGATTTTTTGAATGTTAGTTGAAGAACACAACGCTGTTTAGCACACGTTGTACTGTAGATTGTACATTACACATTTAATAATAATATGCCATTTAGCAGACGCTTTTATCCAAAGCGACTTACAGTCATGCGTGCATACATTTTTTGTGTATGGGTGGTCCCGGGGATCGAACCCACTACCTTGGCGTTACAAGCGCCGTGCTCTACCAGCTGAGCTACAGAGGACCACATGATTTTGCCATCCATAGCTCAAGAATCTGGCCAATGGTAAACTCTGGTAATTTTCCCCTAAACAGATTTTGTGGTGTTTGGAGCAAAGACAATGGATTCCAGAAGAACCATATGAACTTTCAGATCAGTTTCCAGCAGCACCTGTAAGTAACTGAAGATTCTGCTAATATTGTACACCATTCTTATCTAAACACACAGCTGGGGTTAAATTGGTTAAATCTATGCTTTTATAATGAAATAGTCTGGTCAGTTTACCATCTTTTTGACTATATATGCTACAACTGTGTCTAAGACCTGGAATTCCAAACAGAAGGAAGTGGGTTGGAAACCTGCTAATTTTATTGCCATTCATTAATTTTCGAGGCGTTTGTTTTTTATTCCGGCATCCTGTGTCAGATGTGGATGTTGCCTCTTCCTGTCCTCCTCCATTCATGAATCTTTGTCCTGCATCTGTGAAGGGGAAGGGGTGTTTTGGTATAGAATATGTCTCATCACATTTCCTCTTGAAATCACACACAGTTCTGTTGTGGCGGCCAAAACAATCCACCCATTCCCTAAAGGCTCTTGATGAGCCAGACCATTTGATTTGAGGGGGGCCATTCAGCATTTTTACCTTACACATACTCCATATGTGCTGATTCCTCTGTCTTGTGGATAGTGTTGAGGCAAATAGCTTCCTTGCAGTTCCTGCAAAACGTCTGATATTGTCAGAGAATCTAACTGAATTGAAAGTTAAAGGCATGGTCTGGCTCATCAAGTATGAAAAATGTATGCACTCACTTAACTGTAAGTCGCTCTGGATAAGAGCGTCTGCTAACTGACTTAAATGTAAAAGTAAAGCAGAGGCATATGACACATCAGACATTAAAACAAATGCTTTATGTTTTGTGTTAAAGCAGAATGAAGACATAAGAACTCTAGGTTGTAGTTTCAACATGATTGGAATTAAGTTCTAAAGTCTATTTGTTTGCATTCCTAACGTTGACAAAACCATTCTCCATACTCCACATAGAAAAAGTCCCAAGTAGACTAATCCTGCTCATACCACCAGTCACTTAGAAGAATTAAGTGAAAAATAACATGGTCCCGAATGTTCACAAAAGCATGGGTGAAGTTCATTACATGAATAAGTTATGACCATAAATCACATTTATTTCTACAGTAAAACAATTAAATTAGATTGATAAATATAAGCAGATATGCTCCATAGTACTGGATAACTTGTACAGATTGGAGTCATGACAGAGTATGTAGTAAGTCAGGCAAAAGAGGTGGAAGTCGAAATAATCAATCGATTGTGTAATCATGGAAAAAGTTGAACACACTTTAGAATTTGTAATAGATATCACATTTGCTTGCATAATTAGGTTAATTGACATTGATGATGACATGTTTTGAGTAACATGCCGATCAAAGTTATCACATTGATTTTAATACATTTTGTGAACCATCTATACATTTAAATTAAATAATGTACAGTGCCTTCAGAAAGTATTCACACACCTCGACTTTTTCCACATTTTGTTGTCTTAGTCTGAATTTAAAATTGATTAAATTGAGATTTTGTGTCACTGGCCTACCTCATAATGTCAAAGTGGAATTATGTTTTTACACATTTTTACAAATTAATAAAAAATGAAAAGCTCATGTCTTGAGTCAAGTATTCAACCCCTTTTTTATGGCAAGCCTAAATAAGTTCAGAATAAAAAATGTGCTTAACAAGTCACATAATAAGTTGCTATAATAATGTTTAACATGATTTTTGAATGACTACCTCATCTCTGTACCCCACTCATACAATTATCTGTAAGGTCCCTCAGTCGAGCAGTGAATTTCAAACACACATTCAACCACAAAGACCAGGGAGATTTTACAATGCCTCGCAAAGAAGGGCGCCTGTTGGTAGATGGGTAAAAAAAAAAAAGCAGACATTGAATATCCCTTTTGAGCATGGTGAAGTTATTAATTACACTTTGGATGGTGTATCAATACACCCCTGTCACTACAAAGATACAGGCGTCCTTCCTAAATCAGTTTCTGGAGAGAAAGGAAGCCGCTCAGGGATTTCACCATGAGGCCAATGGTGACTTTAAAACAGTTACAGAGTTTAATGGCTGTGATAGGAGAAAACTGAAGATGGATCAACATAGTTACTCCACAGTACTTACCTAAATGACGGTGAAAAGGAAGCCTGTACAGAATACAAATATTCCAAAACATGCTTCCTGTTTGGAAGAAGGCACTAAAGTAAAACTGCAAAAAAATATGGCAAAGAAATGAACTTTTTGTCCTGAATACAAAGTGCTACGTTTGGGGCAAATCCAATACAACACAGCACTGAGTACAACTCTTCATATTTTCAAGATTGGGGGTGGCTGCATTATATTATGGGTATGCTTGTCATCAGCAAGGATTAGGGACTTTTGTTTTTGATAAAAAGAAACGGAATCGAGCTAAGCACGGGCAAAATCCTAGAGAAAAACCTGGTTCAGTCTGCTTTCCCACAGACACTGGGATCAAATTCAGCTTTCAGCAGGACAATAACCTAAAACACAAGGCCAAATATACACCAGAGTTGCTCATCAAGACGACATTAAATGTTCCTGATTTGCCTTGTTAGTTTTTACTTAAATCAGCTTAAATCTATGGCAAGACTTGAAAATGGCTGTCTAGCAATGATCAACAACCAACTTGACAGAGCTAGAATAATTTTTTAAAGAATAATGTGTAAATATTGTACAATCCAGGTGTGCAATGGTTTTAGAGACTTACCCAGAAAGACTTACAGCTGTAATCGCTGCCAAAGGTGATTCTAACATGTATTGACTTGGGTGTGAATACCTATGTAAATTTAAATGTCTGTATTTCATTTTCAATACTTCGCATCGCTGTGCCACTAGAGATCCTGGTTCGAATCCAGGCTCTGTCGTAGCCGGCCGCGACCGGGAGACCCATGGGGCGGCGTCCAGGGTAGGGGAGGGAATGGCCGGCAGAGATGTAGCTCAGTTGATAGAGCATGGCGTTTGCAACGCCAGTGTTGTGGGTTCGACTCCCACGGGGGGCCAGTATGAAAAATAAATAATGTATGCACTCACTAACTGTAAGTCGCTCTGGATAAGAGCGTCTGCTAAATGACTAAAATTTAAAATGTAAATGGGGTATTGTGTGTAGATGGGTGAGAAATCTATTTAATCCATTTTGAATTCAGGCTGTAACAAAAACATTTTTGGGAGTAAGTCAAGGGGTATGAATACTTTCTGAAGGCACGGAGTATGTACAATTGCTGTAATAAAGAAAAGCCGTAGATTCATTACTGATTGCCTTTTTTCATTATGTTCATATTTGATACGAAGTATTGCGCTTTGTACCCCAGTTTTCTTTGCTTTTAGTGTTAGGGCTATTGCTACATTTTATTTTACATTACAAATCTAATTTATTTTCCAATTCATTGTATCAAATGTAATGGGGTGAAATAGCGTTATTACAAAATTGACTTTGTCAACCTTGCAATGTGTTACACACTGACATTTCCCCTAGTATTGCTAATTAATAGAAAACAATACTGTTATCTCTACCACAGTTCCAGTTTGCTATAAATACAAGATTTCCAATGTGTCATCTTTTGACTGCCTTGTCCCAGTTGGTTATGCAGTCCAAAGTCCATATATTTCTGAGTATAGATAGTTCATAGACTTTTCTGCTAGTCTTCACCTGTCCATTTTGTACAAAAGTTGTTAAAAAATTGCTGAATTGTTCCTTCCCTTGTGGAATGCTTGGAAGTGATGAGGTTGCTGTTATGGAGCACTTCAGTCTCTTTGGTCTTTTTTGTTTGTCTTTCTTGTCTGTGTAGTTGTTTCTCAGAGTGACAGAGCTCTGCTCTCCATTCTATGCATGTCTGTGATAGGCATGTCTCTGGGACAGCCTCAGAAGTCTACTGGTCTGATCATAATTGTAGTGGACTTCAGTGAGTAGCCTGAGCCTTTCCAGTAGTACCATTTGATTCCATTGAATCGATTTGAGTTCTGGCCCTGCTGGAAAAATATTCCATTCAAGTTGGAGGGGCCGCAGGCGTCAAACCACCAGCCTAGGAAAGCAGAAAAAAAAGAGATTGTCAGTCTGAGGGTTTTCAGGATGTGCATCGGGTGCATTGTCGATAAGACAACAAGCCCAATTAGTAACTGTGCTTCACCTTTTAACATTGATGCTTTGAATTATCACATTACTTCAAACTTGCACACTTTTGTACCCCTAGTTCGTACCCCCAGTTTCATTGAGTTACAGTGCCTTGCAAAAGTATTTATCCCCCTTGGCTCTTTTCCTATTTTGTTGAATTACAACCTGTAATTTAAATAGATTTTTATTTGGATTTCATGTAATGGACATACACAAAATAGTCCAAATTGATGAAGTGAAATGAAAAATATAACTTGTTGTAATTGCTCCAAAAGGTGACTCTACAAAGTTTTGACTTTGGGGGGGGGTGAATAGTTATGCGCACTCAAGTTTTCGTTTTTTTTGTCTTATTTCTTGTTTGCTTCACAATAAAATATATTTTGCATCTTCAAAGTGATAGGCATGTTGTGTAAATCAAATGATACAAACTCACCCAAAAATCCATTTTAATTCCAGGTTGTAAGGCAATAAAATAGGAAAAATGCCAAGGGGGTGAATACTTTCACAAGCCACTGTAAATGGGAAGGTCTGGATTGTTATCACATGGAGTGCAAGCTAGTGCAGGTCATTCCCCCCCGGGTGTCTGTCATCTTAGTTAATATGCAGCTGGTTATCCCCAACAATTCCCTGAGGTGGAGGGATTCCTCTGTGCGAGACTTCTGAGGGGACCCTCTCATTTGGAGGAGACCCTCTCATATGTCGAGTAAGCAGACACCGATACACTGAAGGAGTCCAAGTCTGGCCCCAAAGCAGTCCCAAATATCAGTGGCATGGAGCCGGACCTCTATTCTGAGCTCCGAGAGAGAGAGGGGAAAAATCCTCATTTCCCAGACTATTAATGTCAGCCGTTGCAGGGGCAGAATTCCCAAATGAGCTGATCAGTGATTAGCTCAGCTAATTCTTCGAGGCTGTGCACTTCAGTTAATGTGAAAATGGAGGGAATAATTTATCTTCTTAATAAAGGCTAGTGAAAACGCTAAGGTGGTATGCAAATGAACCTGTTCCTTACCTCCTGTTGTCAATTGTGAGCATTTGCAAACACATTTGTCGTTGTCTGCATCTTTTGTGCTGAAATCACTTCCCGGCTGACCAAGGCTACTAATTTTGCCTGCTGTGCCGCTGTAGCCTTTAAGGTGTATCCTGTGAAATGAAAACGGAGAAATACATTGTGAGGAGGAAGTACATGATTGCTATTCCTCAAAAGTGTTTGCCCTAGGTTTTATTTCAGCAGTGGTGGCAATGATTTTGACTGTAGTTTTTATTTTGGTGTGTGTTAGTTATCAAAGATGATGTTATTAAAAAACATATGGCTCCATTATCTTTTCTACATTATATATGGTTTACACCGAAAACGTTTTACCATCCCCAAAATTATATATATTATACAGCTGCGGAAAAATTTGGTTTTACTATTTATAGGTATGTGTTTGGGTAAAAATAACATTTTGTTTTATTCTATAAACTACTGACATCATTTCTCCCAAATTCCTAATAAAAATATTGTCATTTAGAGCATTTATTTGCAGAAAATGACAACTGGTCAAAATAACAAAAAATATAGTATTGTCAGACCTCGAATAATGCAAAGAAAATAAGTTCATGTTCATTTTTAAACAACATAATAGTAATGTTTTAACTTAGGAAGAGTTCAGAAATCAATATTTGGTGGAATAACCCTGATTTTCAATCACAGCTTTCATGCGTCTTGGCATGCTCTCCACCAGTCTTTCACATTGATGTTGGGTGACTTTCTGCCACTCCTGGCGCAAAAATTCAAGCAGCTCGGCTTTGTTTGATGGCTTGTGACCATCCATCTTCCTCTTGATCACATTCCAGAAGTTTTCAATGGGGGTTCAGGTCTGGAGATTGGGCTGGCCATGACAGGGTCTTGATCTGGTGGTCCTCCATCCACACCTTGATTGACCTGGCTGTGTGGCATGGCGCATTGTCCTGCTGGAAAAACCAATCCTCAGAGTTGGGGCAACAATGTCAGAGCAAAAGGAAGCAAGTTTTCTTGCAGGACAACCTTGTACGTGGCTTGATTCATGCGTCCTTCACAAAGACAAATCTGCCCGATTCCAGCCTTGCTGAAGCACCCCCAGATCATCACCGATCCTCCACCAAATTTCACAGTGGGTGCGAGACACTGTGGCTTGTAGGCCTCTCCAGGTCTCCGTCTAACCATTAAATGACCAGGTGTTGGGCAAAGCTGAAAATTGGACTCATCAGAGAAGATGACCTTACTCCAGTCCTCTACGGTCCAATCCTTATGGTATTTTGCAAACCTCAGCCTGGCTCTTCTTTGCTTCTCATTGATGAAGGGCTTTTTTCTAGCTTTGCACGACTTCAGCCCTGCCCCTAGGAGCCTGTTTCGAACCGTCCTCGCCATGCACTTCACCCCAGCTGCCGTTTGCCATTCTTTTTGTAGGTCACTTGATGTCATCCTACGGTTGTTGAGTGACATTCGAATGAGTTGGCGGTCATCCCGGTCAGTAGAGTCGTTTTCGCCCTCTGCCGGTCTGTAGCTTTGTTGTCCCCAATGTCTGCTGCTTGACCTTGTTCTTATGAACTGCAGTCTTTGAAATTGTAAGGATGGAAGCAACCCGACGCTCACTGTATCCCTCTGCCAGAATTGAATCCTCCTTTTCCTCACTCAAAACTTTCCTTTTCAACTCTTTTGGCATGGTCAATAGTTATTTTTTGATTGATTATTACTTTTGAGGTACTATTAGCACTGTTTTTGCCATCCAGCTGGTCCTATTGCGATGACCACAGCAGTGGTTTTTATACTTTTCCTTCTGCAAGTAAATAGCAGGCACTGGTGATGTCTTGGGGTACAGATTTAATGTTTACGAGACCGATTCATTTTAGCCTTCTGTTACCTAGTTTCACAGATCCAAACCATTTTCCAGTTGACAGCACATTTGTTTTGGACTGGTGACCCTCCCACCCCATATATTGATGTATATTTTCAGGCAAGGTAAATGTTTTGTTTGTCATTTGTTGATTTTCAAGAACATGACTTGCACACCATTTCATTATAATTACTTTAACATTACGATATCAAAACATCTTGAGTAATTGACTCTGTCATGCAGCTATGATATATTTCTTTCCACATCGCAAAGTAATAAGTTATCACCTATATTCAATGGTCCTCCACACAGACTCCCCCAACATTGTTTTTACATCACATACACTACTGGCCAAAAGTTTTAGAACACCTACTCATTCAAGGGTTTTTATTTTTACTATTTTCTACATTGTAGAATAATAGTGAAGACATCAAAACTATGAAATAACACATGGAATCATGTAGTAACCAAAAAAGTGTTAAACAAATCAAAATATATTTCAGATTTCAGATTCTTCAAATAGCCACCCTTTGCCTTGACAGCTTTGCACACTCTTGGCATTCTCTCAACCAGCTTCATGAGGTAGTCTCCTGGAATGCATTTATACAGACGATAGCCCTATTTGGTAAAAGACCAAGTCCATATTATGTCAAGAACAGCTCAAATAAGCAAAGAGAAACGACAGTCCATCATTACTTTAAGACATGAAGGTCAGTCAATACGGAACATTTCAAGAACTTTGAAAGTTTCTTCAATTGCAGTCAAAAAAACCATCAAGCGCTATGATGAAACTGGCTCTCATGAGGACCGCCACAGGAATGGAAGACCCAGAGTTACCTCTGCTACAGAGCATAAGGTCATTAGATACCAGCCTCAGAAATGTTTGGTTCCAACCGCCGTGTCTTTGTGAGATGCGGTGTGGGTGAACGGATGATCTCTGCATGTGTATTTCCCACCGTAAAGCATGGAGGTGGTGTTATGGTGTGGGGGTGCTTTGCTGGTGACACTGTCTGTGATTTATTTAGAATTCAAGGCACACTTAACCAGCATGGCTACCACAGCATTCTGCAGCGATACGCCATCCCATCTGATTTGGGCTTAGTGGGACGATCATTTGTTTTTCAATAGGACAATGACCCAACACACCTCCAGGCTGTGTAAGGGCTATTTTACCAAGGAGGACAGTGATGGAGTGCTGCATCAGATGACCTGGCCTCCACAATCCGCTGACCTCAACCAAATTGAGATGGTTTGGGATGAGTCGGACCGCAGAGTGAAGGAAAATCAGCCAACAAGTGCTCAGCATATGTGGGAACTCCTTTAAGACTGTTGGAAAAGCATTCCAGGTGAAGATGGTTGAGAGAATGTCAAGAGTGTGCAAAGCTGTCATGAAGGCAAAGGGTGGCTATTTGAAGAATCTCAAATATAAAATATATTTAGATTTGTTTAACACTTTTTTGGTTACTACATGATTCCATATGTGTTATTTAATAGTTGTGATGTCTTCACTATTATTCTACAATGTAGAAAATAGTAAAAAGAAAGAAAAACCCTTGAATGAGTAGGTGTTCTAAAACTTTTGACCGGTAGTGTAAGTAGCCTACATTTATACACCACACCTGGGAAACCTAGGCCTACCTGTAGTTTTCTGCTTCACTGCCTAGAGAGAACTGGTCATATAGTGAGAATCCTGTGTTTTCCTCCCAATCCATCATCTGTATTCTCAAGACGTATGGGTGCTGATTGGTCAGTATCGAAACAAACTCATTTCCCAACCAGTATTCACCTGAAGGGTTTCCGAAGCCCTTTTGAAGGAACATAAAACATAATTAATCACCTTTTGCATGATCACAATGTCACAGTTGAGTTGCATTCTGAGATATTTTAACAACAAAAAAATGTGCTGTTTGTTGCCACTTGCCAGTGTTATCTAAGTTTTGTGCTGTGGGACTGGGATAATTTCCTTTAGCTCTCACCATTTTGTACTCTTTCCATGTACGGTGAAAGTCAACACGGCCATCAAATCGTTTTTGTAGTACTGTCCATCCACCCCCCTCTGTCTCCATGTCACAGTAAGCCTTCAAACAAAAAAACGGATTACTCCAGCTATCAATGATAGTAAATTCAGATTTTTGACTACACTGAGGGACTTTCGACTTCAGCAGCAAACTTGACAAAAGCAGTCTCCTCTCTGTCTAGTTGAAAGGAATGGGAGGTTTCTTAAAACAAGTGATGTGCCAGAGTCTAACTCTGACTACTGAAAAGTATCTAAGGAGATCCCTACTCGAGCTCGGGCATGCACAAAACAAACCAAAGGCTGAGAACATTTGAATTTACTCTGAATTAAAGGGAATCTATGCCGTCGTTGGACATAGGCAACATTTTATTCACATGTTATTATTACACACATTTGCAAGACAATTAATTGGCTGTGGTGTTAGAGAAATTATTTTTTAACTAGTCTGCATATGATTGTACATTGATTTAATGTTGGGAGCTTATAGCTTGAATGGGACCAATAACATCAGAGTTTAATTCTACCTTAATCTCCTGTGTAGTGTTGGGAAGGGTCAGTGAGTAGACTCCACTGTCTGTGTTCCCCGACTTGTAGACCGCAGCACAGTCTGGGTACGTGGTCGGTGTATCCTGCATCATGGTAGGCTTGTTCCCTGCAAAAAGTGGAGGGCGCATCAAATTGATAATACAGCAAAGTTGTGCATGTACTTTTACATAAATACATACTGGTAAACTGACTTTTCAAAGGTAGTGATTTGATCAACAGTTGACATTCGGCTACAATAATTGAATTGCCCATAGTATTCTGGCCTTAATCAGTGATGCCACTGAGATGCCAATGTAGCCCCCTCCTGAGTCTACCAGACGCTGTCATAGTGTCACCCACCTCCACCTGTGGGGATGGAGATTGTGGAGATGAGGTTGTTGACGGTCTCAAGCAGCTCCTGTTGCTGCTGCTGCAGGGCCGAATTGTTGGTGGTGGCCCGGAGCAGCTGTTGCTCCAGCTCCTCGATGACAGCCGTCTGTCTCAGTATCAGTGTAAAGAGCTGCTCCTTCTCCTCCTTCAGCGTCTTCAGCTCCACCTGCCTTTTCTCCTCCATCTCCCCCACCCTCTTCTCCAGGTAGCTGGGGAGGAACAAGGGCAAGGTACATGCTCAGCAACTCACAGCAGAGCTGGTGGGCATTACTGGTCTTGTAGTACTTCTTAGTGTGTTGGTGTTGTCCCAGCAATTGTCATTTCCAATCCAAGCAACTAGCCGTCTTATCAAGAAGCAGATTGTTTTACGGTAACAGAACATATAAGCCTACAATTGGGCAAAAATGTGTTTAACAGGAAACATTAGCCTAAACATTTAGGCTACTGTCTAGTGTTTGTAGCCTTGTTTTAGTTGAAGCATGATTTAGAGATGGGGCACCTGAATGAAAGTGCAGTTTGTTAATACAAACAAATATCCTTACCTGTTTTTGTCATTCAGCTTGCTTATTTCATTTGTTTGGAAAATGAGCTGTTTTTCCAACTTACTCGTTGACAGAGAGTTCTCAAGAAGCTGACGTTCGAGCCGAGTTGTATGATTTATTACCTAAAGATGAAATAGACAATTACTTCCCACATAAGGTATTTTAGATTAGATTGAGCTAGTAATTGCTGCAAGCCCTTTACAGATTAAATTAAGTAAACACCATTTTGTATTGTCATTATGTGTAATATTTGGCAAGAACCAAATGAACAAGTAATTTTACTTTCGTAATTTCAGAACCTGCCCTTGAGGTAATCTCTCAATTGGGGATGTGTTATGATTAAATGAAACATTGGTCTTTCCTAGATAGAAAAAATCTGTAATGGATTATGACATCTCCCTGTTTTTCTCTTGAGTAATCTGTTTCACAAACAATTCCACAGTTCACTGCAATTATTTTGGATCAGCTACAGTTTAAAAGAAATTGTGCACAGCCAGCCATCAGTTTAGTTTTTTTCCCTCTCACTGAAAACATTTACAGTACACTGAATACAATACAATACAGGACCTCAAGACACTTATCTTGTAATAGTAGCGCTTAACTTGATTACAATTTCAAGTCCAAACTCGAATTGTAACAGTCCTATCTCACTTCATGTGCAAACACGGTTTGTGGTTCACTTCACGTTCTAAAGAGCACAATGTGCATGGGCCTAGATGGTCGGAAAAATCTGTTTCGTAACAGGAAAAAACAGAACAATCAAATTCCAATAAAGGACAGATATGATGGAAATGGAGCTACTGTGAAAGTGGCTGTAAAATGTAATGAAAGTCTCCTCACAGACGTATTGAACTCCTGGGTCTAGAAAACCCCCTCTGATTTTCCAGTTTGAGGAACTGAACTCAGCAAAAACATGGGCCAATTTGTTGTTTACATGAATGTTGGGTATGTGTCGGTCTACATTGGACCTGGTGTTGGTGACTTTGAACAGACGGATGTCTGATTCTGACAAATTGATAGACCCTTTCTTGTGGGAATACAATGCTGTTAATAACAGGAAATGCTGTGTAGTTCGTTCACAAAAGGTCAATGACCTACAGCAAATCCTGGCCCTGTTGGACAGCATTCGTTTTTTTCATATTTTGCTAATTTCTATTATTTTTGTTAATTGTTTGGTGTAGGCTATTGGGTTTTGAATGTTTTATTAATTTAGCATATATTTTCAAAACTATATTAAGTGAAAGGTCCTCACCTGCTCCTCAACGTTGGTTAGCTTCCGTGTTTGCTCAACAGTCTGACTCAGCAGATTGGTTCCAAACTCTATCATGGCTGCCGTGTGGTTGTGCACTGCATTCTGCTGGATCTGGAACATCTCCTGCTTCATGCTTTCTTGTATGTAGTTCTCCAGCTGCAGTAAGGATGAAGAAGAGTTGATGAAGGCAGGTTATTGAGATGGTTTAGTGATATACCATGATATTGGGCCTTTGTCCATGTTTGCCCAGCAATGGTAGGGGAGCTGGAAAAGGAGTGGTTATAAACTCAGCAAAAAAAGAAATGTCCTCACTGTCAACTGCGTTTATTTTCAGCAAACTTAACGTGTAAATATTTGTATGAACATAACAAGATTCAACAACTGAGACATAAACTGAACAAGTTCCACAGACATGTGACTAACAGAAATTGAATAATGTGTCACTGAACAAAGGGGAGGTCAAAATCAAAAGTAACAGTCAGTATCTGGTGTGGCCACCAGCTGCATTAAGTACTGCAGTGCATCTCCTCCTCATGGACTGCACCAGATTTGCCAGTTCTTGCTGTGAGATGTTACCCCACTCTTCCACCAAGGCACCTGCAAGTTCCTGGACATTTCTGGGGGGAATGTCCCTAGCCCTCACCCTCCGATCCAACAGGTCCCAGACGTGCTCAATGGGATTGGGATCCGGGCTCTTCGCTGGCCATGGCAGAACACTGACAATCCGTCTTGCAGGAAATCACGCACAGAATGAGCAGTATGGCTGGTAGATTGTCATGCTGGAGGGTCATGTCAGGATGAGCCTGCAGGAATGGTACCACATGAGGGAGGAGGATGTCTTCCCTGTAACGCACAGCGTTGAGATTGCCTGCAATAATGACAAGCTCAGTCCAATGATGCTGTGACACACCGCCCCAGACCATGACAGACCCTCCCCCTCCAAATTGATCCCGCTCCAGAGTACAGGCCTCGGTGTAGCGCTCATTCCTTTGACGATAAACGCAAATCCGACCATCACCCCTGGTGAGACAGAACCGCGACTCGTCAGTGAAGAGCACTTTTTGCCTGTCCTGTCTGGTCCAGCAACGGTGGGTTTGTGCCCATAGGCGACGTTGTTGCCGGTGATGTCTGGTGAAGACCTGCCTTACAACAGGCCTACAAACCCTCAGTCCAGCCTCTCTCAGCCTATTGTGGACAGTCTGAGTACTGATGGAGGGATTGTGCGTTCCTGGTGTAACTCGGGCAGTTGTTGTTGCCATCCTGTACCTGTCCCACAGGTGTGATGTTTGGATGTACCGATCCTGTGCAGGTGTTGTTACACGTGGTCTGCCACTGCGAGGACGATCAGCTGTCCGTCCTGTCTCCCTGTAGCGCTGTCTTAGGCGTCTTACAGTACGGACATTGCAATTTATTGCCCTGGCCACATCTGCAATCCTCATGCCTCCTTGCAGCATGCCTAAGGCACGTTCACGCAGATGAGTAGGGACCCTGGGCATCTTTCTTATGGTGTTTTTCAGAGTCAGTAGAAAGGCCTCTTTAGTGACCTAAGTTTTCATAACTGTGACCTTAATTGCCTACCGTCTGTAAGCTGTTAGTGTTTTAACATCCGTTCCACAGGTGCGTGTTCATTAATTGTTTATGGTTCATTGAACAAGCATGGGAATGAAGATCTGTGAAGTTATTTTGATTTTTACAAATGATCTTTGAAAGACGGTCCTGAAAAAGGGACGTTTCTTTTTTTGCTGAGTTTATTTCGTACAGGGCATAAAGATTGGAGTGTACTGCCTTGGTCCTCTGGCAGAGTTATTGGATCATTGTGATGGGGTTAAATTAATTGTGTATGAAACTGTTGTTTACCATATGGATGTCACAGTGAAAGTATAGGCTGTTCTTCTTTAGAATTACTATTTTTAAGCAGGACAGCCTTGTCATGGAGTTCATGGCTTTCCCCCTTGTGTCTGACCCAGAAGTCTCTTGAGCAGTACAAGTGGGCAGAATTATCTGGTGACAGGCCAGGCATTTTGACAAGTGTTTAGATTACATGATGTTGAAGCCTCTAAAAAAATTGGGGCAGGAAGTTCATGTACTTCTGTTTCAGAGGGGTCAAAAATGGAAGACTGAGAATATTTTCCCAGCATTGCTGCTGATTGATATTTGATCTACACTAGGGATTAATAGCTTCCCGAAAATCGAACGCTTTTAATATGGTCGTTTTTGGTCATATCAAATTGTATCACTGTCAATGGGGACTGCACTGGAATGCCCTTTCAATATCTTAAGGCTCTTTTTGTAAAATGTTACTGCTGACTGAGCCTCCAAAGGAGTTTGGTTCAGTCATCGTGAATGCAAACTCATAATTGTAACATCCTATCTGTAGACATTTTTTAAATAAGCTTTTTTCTCTATTGTCTGTCCCACACGGTATAGTTTTCTTTAGGGAAAATAAATATGAGCTTTAAACAGGAGTCTTGTTCCCCTATCCAGTAGCAACCTGTCAAAATTAAACTGCCAGATTTAAAACAAACCCATCATAAAGCTCTTTCCTGCATTGAGTTCCTGAGTGGCAATCAGGCCTGAAAGTCTTGTAAACAGGATGGAAATGATGAGTGATGAGTTGCATCCTCTACGACACTGCGTCTTCCACGGCAAGAGGATATCATGGCGTTAGTAGGCCTTGTTGTTCTGATCTTTGTTTGATAAACAATTAGGCTGTATACCCATCTGCCAAAAAGGTAAACTTTTGGGACAATTTTAAAACGGGAAGTATATTTAGCTTTTTGCCATGGTAATGAATGACAAGTGCTGCAATCAGTGCTAATTTTGTTTGTCTTCCTTTCTCCACTTCCATCTTGTCTGTGTTCCTGGACACAAAGGCACGTGGAGGCTGGAAGAGTGTGTCATCGGAACTGCGAGCGGGACATTCCATTGACGGCTAATGATCTAATCAGTTGTTTACTCCACTCCTGCCTCTAAGTATTCCACGAGGAATGCTTGTTTGTCCTCCCCGTTTACGTGAAAAGCGTGACGCAAACTGACATTTATTTTACCGGCACAACAACAAAGTCCCTCAGCCTATCTTCCAATTTTTTTGTGTGGGACAGTGCAAGAATTTGAGGTATTACCTCGGCTCTCACAATAAATTGTATTTTCATCAGTTGATGTACAATGATTTCCTCTGTCCTTGACTCGGTCTTACATGGGGAAGTTCAGAGGAAGACCCTTTCCTCTGTTATTACAGATAATGCCAATATACCGACAAGCTGTATGTAGTGTATGAAATTATGACGCGTCAGGAAATATTTCATGTTAAAAGGGCAATTTCATGTTTTTATTCATTAGCAATGTATTAGGTAAATGTATACTGATATTTTGGATAAGGCTTGTTTGTTAATTGTTACTAGTAGTAATGTGCATGAAAGGACCCTTTTACATAGCCTACTTTTTCCTTTAAAATACCTCCAGAATTCTGGATGTATTGAGTCGACCTCATTTTTATCAAGAGAGCCTCTTAACCTTTGCAGATCTCCTATAGATTAGTTCCGCTCACTTAATGTTTGTTTTACATCAATGTATTGCATTTCAATTAAACAAAAAATTGACTTTCTTTCCTTGACAGATATTAATGACAAAGTTCTTAATCCTTTCCTTCCGGAGTAGTCACTTTGGGACGAATCCTAACCTCAAACACACGTTAATCTGACTTTAATGCAGCATAAATCATGCATGTCAATTTGATTTGAGATTTTAGCAGAGTTACGCATATGTATCTCACGTAACAAATCTGTCCTTGGAGGATAAAGGCCTGTGAGGCAGTAACCGCTTAATGAACTGAATGAAGGATCATTATGGAGTCTAAAGACTAGAGATTCACTATTTGAACCGCTTCAACCGCTTCATTTCTAGGCTTTTAAACTCTTCCGGTGTGAAAAAAAAACCCAGTAGCCCAATCACTGTCCTTAGCTTAAAAGTTGTTGTCTTTGCCTTAAAAGCTAAATGATGTTAACAGTGCCAAATTCAAAGCATTTTAAAGACTACATTTTTCTAAATAGTGTTCTTAAGCATGGGCTCTGCTCTGATAAAACGGCAATGATAAAAGGTCTAGGGACCCCAATGCTTAGCAGCAGCTGACCGAGCTGGTGGAATGATTCAGGCCATGGTCTGTTTTTTTTGGTTCGAGCTGTGTGATCAGGCAATGAGTTGTGCTTGTCGTGTCAGAGCTCTATAGACCTCATCATTAATCAAACTCTAAGGGGGGAGAAAGAATGTAGGGAGCCTTTGCCCGTTCCTTTCACACAAGCAATGGCTCAGTAGTGCTGAAAGGGATGTGCAGATCCTTCATCTGGGCACCTGTGTAGAGGCTTTGTCACTCTTCGGCCCTTCTCACCCACTCAGAGCCACCACAGCCCTGCTTCTGTGACACTGCTTTGTTTTACGGTCCTTTGGGCTACTTTCTCCCTACTTCGGCTCACATTCGCTTTCTTATTGCTCAAGACTGAATCCATGTGAAGATGCCCCCTTTGAATAGTAGGACTGTCACAATTCACTTGCCTGCATCCTTACAAGGTCAAGTTCACTACTCTCAATCAGAATCTGATGATTTTTTAAATCTGAATGAGTCTTTCAAAGCCTTCTTGGCAGTAAAGAAAGCAACTGTAGTATAACGCGCCTGCACATCACTGCAAAGTTGGTGTGTATACTCGTCTTTTCTGATGGGGGGGGGGGGTGTGACATTCCTATAGAAAGCAACTTGTAAAGCATATTGTGCAGAGTGAGAAATCATGACACTACGTAACATCACCTCTGCACAGTAGGCTGCAAAAACTTGCGGTCTCTTATCTTTATCATCTCAAGTTGGCGTAACATAATGGCAGAGCAGCAGAACCATTCCCTTACTTCTTCATCTTTTAACGGTTCACAGCACCCAACGGGTTATCCGGAACCAAGTCCCTTGTTACGTTTTAAATGCGGGCACTCTACCAGTGTACCTGGACATGCAAATAGCACATTTTTATGGAACCATTTCTAACATAACATATTGGAGGGATGTAAAATATCATACGAAATAGAGGGACCCCAAAAAAGTATAATACCATGGGAATGGGTGTGAGACGGCATTGAACACACACCTGCACTCCCAGTAGAGAAGCTGCTGTGTGACGTCAAGCAGAAGACTTTACCTTGAGGAGCCACTGTGTGTTGTTCTCTATGATGTTCTCCAGCTGCTCCAGCCTCTGGACCGACTCGTCATACTCTGCCGGATCGTCCTTCTGGACCAGGTTGGTGTAGGTGCTGCTCGGGGTCTTGCAGTTGTCCTGCTCAGGCAGCAGAAAGGTGTAGCTGCACAGGCCATTTTGGATCTGGTACGGTCTCTTAGCAGCTGTTGGGTCTGTAGTTTTCCTGTAGCCTTCCCCCAGGGCCAGGCAGCAACTCAAGACCACCAGTAAGCCAACATAAAACATTTTAAGAATTAAAACAAAATTTTTATTGTAAAAATGTTACCCAAAGCTCTCCTTTTTGGGTCACTCCTTTTCAGTTGAATGTTTTTCAAGGTTAAATATTGTTGTAATTCTTTCCTCTGGAATATCCAAGTGCACACAGTCCTCTTCCAATTCTTCAGGTTATTTTATAGGCAGGAGGAGGGGATACAGTCAGTGGGTACGCCGGGTAGATGGTGTCATTCCTAGACTGCACGTTTACCCCCTTTTTCATTAAGTCCCCAGCCTCTTGGTTTCAGCTGCAGTTGGCCCTCCGGTTAGCTAGCTATGGGAGTGAAGGCAAGGCCCCTCCCACTATATCCCTGTAGCCAGTCACCGTGAAGAGCCGCTGGGCTGGAAGAAGCAATGTGGAGACCACTTGTTACACACACACACACACACAGGAGCAGATGCACTAATTAAACACTTCCCACCATATCATCTTCTTTGCCTGAGTGAGCGCTTCATCAACAGGTCAGGGAGAAGGGCAGAGAGGATAAAGCAACAATGCCCATATTTGTGTTTTCTCACAAGCCGATGGCCGAACATCTTTTCAGGATGCAGTTTCCTTCTTCAAGTAAAGTCTGCAATTGCGATGTCCATCCTTACCCGTGGTAAATATTTTCTACCCGCCACAAAGCACAGGCATTTGTCAAAGTGAGAATGTTAAAGGAAGGAGAGCCTTTTCTCTGTTGTCACATTCCATTCCGATCGCTTTGCTCAGTCATAAAAAACATTAGCTCTTATTTCCTGTCATTCTCCAACTCTGTGCTGTATCTGGATCTTGTTACACATGTAGGGGTGAGATCCAGTATGTTTACAGAGGGAGACGAGTATCTGGCTGGGGTTCTGGGGACATTAATAAAGCTCATCCTTCCATTTCATGTCATTATGATAAGATGCTAAATCTCCATTTTAATGTGACTTTAAAATAGACTGATCTTGGCTTCATAGAGCCCTGTTGTCCAGAGTGCATTTTGCCTGCTTCTTTTCCTTTGTGGGAATGAAGTAGTCGAGGTACTTCATCTAGTCCTTTTTTTAAGTATATTTTTTTCATCCTCTGGTCCTGGCAACTGTAGACGGGCAGCTGGGGAACCATCATAATCTCACACTACACAGTAGCCATGTCTGAAGCGTAGGTAATGTAGCCTGAATATTAGCTTATTGTGCTGTAGTTAACTTTCGATTAGAATCTTCAGTGGTGCCTGGATGTCGCCAGACCACGTTCCCCTCACGATTTTCCCACCTTTGATTTTAGAGGATGTTTCAGGTCAGGGCGGCTGTGTTCCCTGCATCCTGTCTCGAGCCTTCTCAGACTATCATGGAATAGCATGAGGAAAAAACTGCCCCAAATAGCATAGTCATTTGAGCCCAGACCTAGGTTCAAATAATATATTTTGGAGCCTTTTTGTCCATACTGATAAAATATTGTGATTATTCAGGAGTTCAAGCATGGTTTGATACTTATTTCTTCATAGGGAGGGCGTATAAGCAATACATTTAGCTGGGAAACTGTCTTCCAAGGAGACTTGTGCCTCAAGGAAAGGGGATTTTTTTTAAATGCTGGCTTAATTTCATAGGTGCCAACCAAGCTCCGAAATGTTTGTGCTTTGTTTTAACTCGGTGGTTGCTTTTTGGTTGTGCGTGTACAGCCACCCTTGGGAGATCTTACATGGTCAGCTATTCAAGGCTTTCAGTTATAGTAGAGGGAGATGAGGTGCTTGATCGAGGTGTACAAGTGATATAAAAACCATGACCATTTTGACATCTCTACAACTACATCTACTTGCATGTTTGATACTTTTTAGGAATTATAGATGTATCATTAAGTCCTGTGGTTTTAGTTGTAGAACATTAACATAATTCATCTAGATGTCCAACTGACACACTTGGCAAACATAACTGGTTTACATTAACCTTTGGCTTGAATGGATGAGTTGGGTCGGTGCAAAGTGAGGTCACACATTAAAGGTCCACTGCAGCTGTTTTTTATCTCAATATCAAATCATTTCTGGGTAACAATTAAGTTCCTTACTGTGATTGTTTTCAATTAAAATGGTCAAAAAGAAACAATAGCTTCTTAGCAAAGAGCAATTTCTCAAGCAAGAATTTAGCTAGGACTGTCTGGGAGTGGTCCGAGTGGGGATGGGAAAACTGAAAACTAGCTGTTATTAGCAGAGAGATTTGGAACTCTTTCTTGTTGGTCACCAGGTAGGCCAAAACTCCATCCCACCAAAACAGGCTGAAGACAGACATAAATAAGTTTAATGTCAAAACTAATAATAAGGCTGATTATCACACAATTTAACTTTAAACATAGCATAAGATTTATGGAGAGTGTATTGCATTTATTATCTTCAAGATAATGAGCCAGCCTGTCATGTATAGTAAAGGTGTTTTTCAGTCATTGTCTATTCCAATGATGTGAGCATTATGAAACTGCTGATATCACACACGATGGAGGTGGGCTGCACAGGAAGTGAATCCGCTTGGAGGATGTTTTGTCTTAAACCCCAGGGATGTTTCTCAATCATGGTCATCTTCCTATTGCACCACTGACTTAATTCTTAATTTACTTTAACACTGAAGCTGAACATATTTCACCTCTGAGTGAAACCGCTTGAGTCTCTCTCTTTAGGTGTCCGCATGCTTCCCATCTGAAACAGTTCGGAACAGTTTGTACATATATTACGAAGACATTTTGTGATGTTTTTTGGGGGCTTTTCGTGCCCCTTCATTGGTGATTGGTCAACAGTAGGGATTCTTCAATGAAGTGTTTGTCATTCAACGATAGACTACTCATTTTCATGAAAATAAATTCGATTCAGAAATACTGCACCAAACATCCTAATTATACTAAACAAAAATATAAACGCAACATGTAAAGTGTTGGTCTTATGTTTCGTGATTTTTATATAAAATATCCCAGAAATGTTCCATATGCACAAAAAGCTTGTCTCCAATTTTGTGCGTAAATTTGTTTACATCCCTGTTAGTGAGCATTTCTCCTTTACCAAGATAATCCATCCACCTGACAGGTGTGGCATATCAAGAAGCTGATTTTAAATAGCATGATCATTACACTGATGCACCTTGTGCTGGGGACAATAAAAGGCCACTCTAAAATGTGCAGTTTTGTCACACAACATAATGCCACAGATGTCTCAAGTTTTGAGGGAGCGTGCAATTAGTATGCTGACTGCAGGAATGTCCACCAGAGCTGTTGCCAGATAATTTAATGTTAATTTCTCTACCATAAGCCGCATCCAACGTCGTTTTAGAGAATTTTGCAGTATGTCCAACCGGCCTCACAACCGCAGACCACGTGTAACCATGCCAGCCCAGGACCTCCACATCCAGCTTCTTAACCTGCGAGATTGTCTGAGACCAGCCACCCGGACAGTTGATGAAACTGAGGAGTATTTCTGTCTGTACCTCCACACATTGACTCGGTACCAATACCCCCTGTATATATCCTCCTTATTGTTATTTTATTGTTGCTCTTTTATGTTTTACTTTAGTCTATTTAGTCAGAACAAAACAAATCTTAACTCTTATTTTTGTTAACTGCATTGTTGGTTAAGGGCTTGTAAGTAAGCATTTCACGGTAAGGTTGTATTTGGCGCATGTGACACATTTTTTGATTTGATTTGATAAAGCCCTTTTGTGGGGAAAACACATTCTGATTGGCTGGGCCTGGCTCCCCAGTGGGTGGGCCTATGCTCTCCTGGGTCCCACCCATGGCTGCGCCCCTGCACAACCATGTGAAATCCATAGATTAAGGCCAAATGAATTTATTTCAATTGACTGATTTCCTTCTATGAACTGTAACTCATAAAATCATTAAAATTGTTGCATGTTGTGTTTATTTTTGTTCAGTATAGATGTAAAATTGCCCGACCTAAGCTCTCCTCTGCAAAAACATCAGAATTAATGACCGATGTCTTGAGTTATCTATTCATTCTGACTTTTGAGGAAGTGTATACTGGCTATGGCGTCTCAAAATTGACAAGCGGTACTACTGACTCTTTTTTTCTTGCGTTTTTCAAGCGAATGTCAAAGGTATGCGAGCACACTCTTTCCCCTAGCAGAACCGAAGAATGCGGATGCCTTTTGAGTGACAGTTTTGTACTTTGAGAAAATGATCAACATAGCCAAAGGTCTTACATTATTCCAAAGGTCCTTTAGTCTTGTCCCTTTTTAGGTATATTCTGTCTATTTTTAAGCATCAGTTCCTATTACAATGCATTGACCATTTACATTTACATTTACATTTACGTCATTTAGCTGACGCTCTTATCCAGAGCGACTTACATTATTATTTTCATACTGGCCCCCCGTGGGAAACGAACCCACAACCCTGGCGTTGCAAACACCATGCTCTATCAACTGAGCTACCTCCCTGCCTGCCATTCCCTCCCCTACCCTGGACGACGCTGGGCCAATTGTGCGCCGCCCCATTGGTCTCCCGGTTGCGGCCGGCTACAGCAGAGCCTGGATGATCATATAGTAATAATAATAGGCCTACCACACAATAACCAACATCCTCCGTTATTGAGGCGATCCATGAGCGCATTGCATTTGCCTTCTACTCACACACTCATAGGTCCCAGCACACACAAGAAGCGGAACCACAGGAAGTGAAGTGATGTAACATAATGTGAAGGAAATGCGGCACGTTTTAGGCAGATGACCACAGAGGAAGGCTGTTCATTCCAGAAACATAGAACATGGAATGGTTCAGGTGTTCTGGTTGAATCGCTACACCATTAGATGTGTGGGCGTTGATGTTTGTCTGTCAGTCCTTTCATGTTGGGAGGAAGAGCATCAGGGGGAAGGAAGTGACACAATGACCTAGCCTTTTTTCCCCCTGGAATTAACAACCAAAACCCAATCTGCTTCAGGCCCCTTTGTGGATGCTACAAGGCTCTATAGACACAATAGGCTACATCTGGTGTATAGTGTAGAGGATATGTTTAGTTAATTAAATAGTAGTTTGTTCTTGGGACACATTTTAAGATCATTAAAGACAACTTATT